AAGTATTTTTCTAAGTTGCCAGCAGGGAGTTGTTTTTTTTCCCCCCTTTGGTTAAACAACTTTGTTTGGAATTTAAAAATTAAATTTTATTATGAGCTTTATTGATTTTGATAAACTAACAATTATTTTCCCATCAGGAGGACAGACCTCTTTTCAGTTTCCTCTGATGGTCCAAACAAACGAAAGCAAGCAAATGCAAAAGTGTTGGCTGTAATTTAAAATTGTAGTTTGTAATTATCTGCACACTTTATTGGGAACTTCTCTCCTTTCTGTGGCAGTGACTTCCCCAATTATCATGAGCCTGAGCGTCATCTGTCAGAAGCAAACAGATGGAAGACGTTTCACTCATGGCTCACAGCTTTCTGTTTATTATTATACTAAGCACAGAATGCAAGGGAGCTAAATGTAGCAACATCATGAAAACATTATCCTCTGTAAATACAATGATCTGGATTTGTTCCTATTCAGAGGACATGCAGGAAACGCTTGAGGATATTGTACCCTGATTTCTTTCAGTCTGCAAGAGCTGGGCCCCTCCCCCACTGACGGATTGATACAAGTAGTCAAATCACTCCCAAATCTTCAGGAAATGAAAGGCTAGATCACTAATCACCGCATGCACACTTCACTTTAATATTTCATTCAGCTTTGATAGAAGATTATAATGGAGGATATTATGAAAGGGCACCACTACAATTGTACTCAGTGGGCCATGTGTAATATTTGAAAGTACATCATCTCTGTGGGTACTTTGCAAGTTGCAGTTGTTAGATGAAGAATAAATGTTAAACTAGATTCTTTTGGCCATCCAATCAAATACATTTATTATGTGCCCTCTGTGTGCAAAGAACTGTATTAAGCACATAGTTTGGTCCCTGCCATTATTCTTAAACTATGCTCCTGGTGGGTGTTAAGCAGGACTGAATGGGTCTTCCTAATAAAATAAAATAAAAGCATTTTTTGCCAGTTTCTAGGAAATAGTTCAGTGCTCAGAATTGTATGTTTTATTTTTTTCTGCTCATTTTTCTCACATGTTTGGTGCCTGCTACTGGCTGTTAATATTTGTAATTTATAAAAGGAAGCTAGCAAATTATTTAAGCAACTGGATAAAATATATAATTTATTTGGGTTTAGTACACTTTAATTTTATATTGTACTATCACCAAGAAAATGTGAATACCAATGTAACTTTAATTAAGATACCCTGGAAATGACTGTATAATCCCTTCAAGGTGCTAAAAGTTGTCAGTATAGACAGTTGCCTAAGATAAAACTATCTAAAATATATCTCATATATTTTAATTGAATTAGTGCACTCTAAGGAGTTAAAACATGGAAAACATCAGGAAGCTTGATGTATTTTTTTTACTTATGTTCTTCATTTTCTATATGTTGGAGGTAAATTGCTTTTATTATTCTTTAATGCCAATCATTTTCTGTAACTCCTTCAGATCATTTGTAGACATAGTTTAGAGTCACATGCAATAAACGTGCTGTGTCGTTATCAGATAGCATTGGCTCAGTATTTCAAAGTGATGTAAACACTGATCACTTCCTGTCGGACACTGTATTATCCACTCCTTGCCTCTTTCACACCTCACAGTCTCTGTTGGAAAGTGCTCTTTATTACCTCCTTTTTCAAAGGGGGAAACTGAGACACAGAGATGAAGCAAACTTAACTCTGTTTACATGGCCAAGTAATAATAGCCAGAGATTTAAAACTAGGCAGTTTGGCTGCAGAATATGGTTTCTTGGCCATTGGGTTATACTAATATAATTATGAATATTAAATTATTTTATAATTATTGGCTCAAGAGTGTTACATTGTTTAGTTTACCTCTGTTGAAACTATTACCCTAGCCTAAACTGGTAAAAAAAAAAAAATAGAAAACAATGTACTGTTTCACATAATTAAAGGAATGAGAGTAGCAGTTGTTCAGGAATGGGTTGATTTATGGGTTCAATGATGTCACTAAGAACCCAGTTCCCTTTATTGTCTGTGTTCTCTTTCCCAAGATTGATGTCAGCAATGATAGTGAGAAACTCCCTTATTCATAGTCAGAAAAGAAACGAGACCTGAGGCTCACTGCTTCTTACAGAAATCTCCAGAACCACTACGAATGGTCCAACTTAAGAGCTGACTGCCCAGGGATCAATAATTATGGTCAGAAGTGAATTCTTTGGTATTACTGCAGTTCAGGGAAATATCCTGTTGGATAATGCTGGATCCCACACACTTCCCTGAACCCACAGAGTCCTTGATAGAATTGTGATAAAAGAGGAGATGTGTATGTCATAGGCAACCTACCAAGTAGGCAGAATATAAAACATATATATTCAAATGTTTATATTGAGTAGAATTACTAGTTTACAACATACATTTATATGTAACTTTACATAGTGTCTCTACATCTCTATCAGTCATCTTTCTAGTTAGTACATTTCCTTTAGAATTATTTATTTAATTGTTAAAATACATCAGACAAAAATGAGTTTAGTGTTCAAGGGAATTAAAGTTAGGGGTGGCCATACTAAACTCAACTTGTCAGGCCATTGTATAAGTAGTGTTGATAATTGAAAAAAGAAAATTTATCCATGAAATTTGATAATGCAGATTATTGGAGCACCTAGTAAAATAGAGAAAATAACATTTCTCATAAAGTGATTGTTTTCAAATATCACCAATTAATATTATCTATTGTTATATGAATAACAAATTTTCCTTACTGTTATTTTTTTGCATTTTCTCCATCTGTCTCTTTTTTACAAGAAAATACATAATTCTCAGAGACATGGAACTCACAAAGACTATAGTCTGAGAAACTGCAATTTCAAGATGGCAACTTGTGAAATACAAAAATGAAATTCTTGTCCAACATGTTTCATGCTCTATGCTTAAATGTCCACACCATAAGAAAAACCCACCTCTGGATTCTCATGTAAAAGCTGCACCATTTACCAAGTATAGTAGCAAACATCCAGGTGGAAGAAGAGAGAATAAAAGATAAGTGAATTATTTGTTATTGCTGCAATTTAGGGCATCCTAAACTGAAATTCTTGCTCACTCATATTAATGCTAGGATATTCAGCACACTCTTGTTGAACTCAGAAATCCTAAAAGAGAAAATGATCCTCCTACATTTATGTGGAATACTGTTTTTCTTATGACTTGTGTTTCACAACAAATTGGTTGTGGTGATCTACCAGAATGAACTGTAGCATTTTATAGACTTATACAACGTGCAATAAAAGTACTTCTGAGTCATTGAATTTTGTTTTACCTTTTCTCACAAGTCCTAAAAACAGAGAGGTATAATGCACACAGGATGTCAGGAATTTCCATGATGAAGTGATAAAACTGTTGAGGACAAAAAGAGAACCATTTCAAGTACATATTTGTACATTCATAAGTTAAAAATAAGCTTGAAATTTAGGTTTTTTGATTTTTTTTCCTTTTTAGATTTAAAGAAAAACTGCAAAAGTAGTCAAGCACCTATATATTTTGTACCTAGTTTTATTTACTGATGAGATTTTATATTAGTATAATATGTTTGTTATACTTAATAAGCTAACATTGCTTTACACAGCTGTCCTTTGGATTCTTGCATAAAATTTTATTATTGTAACTCTACCATATACACAGAATTAGCTTGAAATAGTGTGGAGAATTCTCATGTACCCCTCGGTGAGTTTTCCTTATTATTGACGCCTTGCATTAGCATGATACATTTGTCAAAATTAATGAAGCATCGCAGATGGACCAAGCACAGTCCACATTTCACTCAACTTTCTTCCATTTTTCTTTAATGTCCTGGTCCTATTTCAGGGACCCTCCCAGGATATATATATATATATACACATATATATATATATATATATCACCTTATGTTTTTCACATCTACCTGACTGTGAGTTTCTTAGACTATTCTGGGCACTAATTACCCTGACCATTTGGGCGACTATGGGTCAGGTGTTTTATAAGAAGATGTTATGCATTTGAGATTACTATTCATTTTATGAATTATAATACCTCAAATCACTTCCACACTTGTGATCTGGATCTTGAGGCAAGAAAAAAATATCACTTTGATCTGAATCTTAAAGCTGGATGGCACAAATATTTAATCCAGACCTTGAGGCTGGAAGAAACACTTTCAATATAGGCCACACTTTTTTCTGAAAGCCTTTATAACGACAGTGGAAGAAAAAAGGGCTCTTAATGAGCTTTCCCTCACCTTGTCAGCATATCCAGAAGATTAGCAAGGACACCCAGGTTCATGGGACAGAGGAGCTACTAGATTCTTGGACTTTCCATTCACAACTAACCATTGTTGTACTGTACCCTGTAATCCATTCCAATAAATTAATATATATATACATATATATATATAAATGTATGTGTATACATACACACATGCATGTGTGTACACACAGATAGATAGATGGATAGATGGATAGATAGATAGATAGATAGATAGATAGATAGATAGATGATGGATGGATAGATAGATAGATAGATAGATAGATGATAGATTTATTCCATACGTTTTGTGACTCTAGAAAATTTTAATACAGTAATTCAGTACATGGTCATAATACATTGTTGCTAATTATTATTCTAATTAGTCATATGCTTTGACTCAAATACAATTATCTCTTTGACCACTAAGGACCCAAACCTACTGACCACTGCCAATGAAACTCTTTTGTACTGTTTTGCTGAATGCTGTCAATACTGTGGTCTATTGCTCTTTGCTTTCCCTCAAAATCTACTATGCCTTTATTATTGGATTTGGTGTTTATTTCATTGTCTAACTTTACTTCACACTTTTTCTAGAGTAACATTCCAAATAGATGAACATGAAATTTTTCTCATTTTAATCAAGGTTTTTGCATTAGAAGTTGGAATCAAATTTCTAGCTGTACATATCCTAGTTTTTACCCCCAAACTCTCTTTCCAGGTTGATGTTTTATTCCTAATCTCCTATATTCTTTTGCAGTCTTCTTCAGCTCCTCATTTGTGATGGCTTCTCCGCCCAAGCTGCAAAAGTGAGTATGTAGTCATGTATTAAAAAGTCACTTCTAAAAAAGTTTCAGGACAGACCTGGCAACTTCTGGGTTTCCACTGCAAACTTCACACCTTGAAGGCATAAATCACAAACAATCCCACAGCAGTTTGGAATTATGACCAATAGAGAAGCTATTTATTTAAAGGGGAAAACCTTACAGATCACCGCAGACAACAGCCCTCTGCTCAATCAGGAAGGGAGCCTAGTTGCCTGAAGAGGAGCTGGAAGCCAGAGTGAGAGCAGAGGGAAGTGGCTGCTTTTTTAAAGGGAGAGAGACCACGCCCCAATGGGCTGGTATCTCAGCAGCTATTGGCTGAAGGAGAGGCGAAGGAGCTCCAGCGCCAACACCTCAATCTTCTAACACTTTAGCCCTCTCTTACATTAGCTTATGTAAGTATCGTTTCCACTAGTGGATACATGGACTGAGTGTTGAAGGCGTTTTCCTGTCCCGACTGCCCACTCCCAAATAACCACTCAGAGTGTTAATAATTACAAATGCTCGGTCAAAAGCACAAGCTTGTTACTAGCTAATACTTACATTTTAAATTACCCCATATTTCTTATCAATTCTTTGCCAGCTTGCTTGGTACCTTTTCTCAGTAAAGGATGCCTATCTTGTTTCTCTCTGTGTCTGCTAGTGACTCCCAGCTCCTTCCTTATTCCTCCCAGCCTTCTGTTTGGCTCTCCTGCCTAATCTTACCCTGTTCAGTTTTTGGCCAGTCAGCTTGTTTATTAAATCAATCATAGCTACATATATTCGCACAGTATAAAGGAATATTCCACACTTCAGAGTATTGTCCTAGCATTTATGTTTTCATTTATTCTTAGATCCTAGGTAGTTGATAAAAACCTATATGGATAGATTAGTACTCAATAATCAAATAATGATTATTTCCTCATATTTATTTTCATTTATGTAATTCTGTGAGCTCTTATTTATTATCAAAACTCAAAGTTTTGCGGGGAGAAGTGTGTTGTCACAGATCTAGAACAATTTTAACTATCTATATGTTAGATAATTTATGTTGGTAAAGTCTGAAACCGCTGACAGTACCAGCTCTTTGGAATTCGATATATGTATTTATGTGTGTTTTTATTATCTAAAACTATTTTTTTTTATTTTCTATTTTTTAGCAAGGTTCTCTTTCTTGTCATATCTCAGTCATAGTTTCTGGAAAGATAGTGGTGTGGCTGTTTTCTCTATGGAGAACTCAAAATTAAGATTAAATTTTGTTGAGCAATCCAGCAATGATGACCTGTGTCTTCCTAATTCAGTCTGCCACCAGGAACACTGCAATACAATTACCCATTTATTAAGAAATAAGATGAAGATAGCAAAGCATTTAATTTTAATTGCCTCTGATGTTCACCATATTGTCATTTTCCACTGGCTTTCTGTGACTGCCCAGCAAGAATTTCTCTTTCATGCAAACCACAGAGCTAAATTGAATTACAGAAAAGAAGCTACATACTGACTCCCAGCAGTATGTTTTGACAAAACATTTTGTCTCCATAAATGATTTCAGATGCTATAGTCAAAAAGCCTTGACTGTAAGTAATGGGTTCATAACACCTATCTTTAAAAATTTACCTGACAGTAGCACTGTGCAAATATCTGCACTGCTGGTTCACCTTCCCCACTTGTTTTACGTCAGGGTTTTAATGGAGTGGCTGTCACAGAACAACAGCTAAAGGCCACGGCTTGATAAGTCGCTATAAAAACACAGCGTTTAAAATGAGAATTTCCTTCTTAAATTCAACCCTCATAAATGTGATGGTGACGGTGGTTAGACAAATATAGATGTAATAACAATTATTGAAAAAGAAGACTATGAATTTGAAAGAGTAAGGAGAAGTACATGGGAAAATTTTGAGAGGGGAAGAAATATTATTGTTATTATACTCTTAAAATTAAAGAAATATTTAAAAAATAAAATTCTGTTGGAATTTTGCTAGAGACTTTTAGAAATGTATCCCATATGGTAGGTCCTCAGTATACATCTTCCTTAACTAATGTTATCATGTGTTCTGTAAAACTGTAGTCTCATTGTCTGAATTCAATGCTATGGTTAGTTAATTCTGTCAAAGTCATGAAATATTTTGTGAAATTGTAAAATTTTATTTTTTACATCTTTACACATTTGTACAATATATAAAAACTTAATATAAATGGTTAGTTTACATTTTGCTAATTGCTCTCAAACCTCCCTAGGTGCAAACAAGACTATGATAAAATTTACATATTTCTTTGTATGTGTGTTGCAAGGTATTGGGTACTATAGATTAACTGCTTTATGTCACATGATGCAGGAATTATTTTTGAAGAATTTGAAAGATTATTTCTGAGAATTGCCTTCTGCCATTTAACTAAAATGTCATCTTCCTATATTGCTGCAATAGTATGGACTAATAAATAAGTGTTTTTGGTGACGTTTCTGAGTTTCTTTCTTTCTTTCTCTGTGCCAATGTTGGAACATTGAGTCTTACCTCTCATTGGGTATCCTTTTTTCTGTGCCCAATACTTTCTTCTAAAATAAGCACCAAAACTTCCTCTAATAGCAGCACATCATTAGATCCTGTTTAACAAGGTGAATTCCACACCTGCTTTTGTTTGATTTAACAGATCTGTGAAATGCGCAGTGATACTGTTATCATTATCTATTTCTTAAGAACTTAAATCATGCTTCATTTAAAAATACAGCATACCATATTTACTGTCATGATGACACCGAAAACATCAAATAGAAACCCCAGATGACAAGCATTTTGTCAAGATTCAATATTCTGATTCCACTTCACTTTCTACCTTAAAAATGAATGTCGTAACTGCTAATCATTTCAATCTGTGTTCTTATTCAATATAACCCTTTTTTCCCCTCCTGAAGAAATTTGTTTCTTTGTAAGAACTCCCAGGATGGTGTCAAATGTGACTTGATTGAATCTAGTGATATAATCTCGTTTCTTGGCAAACTTCTACACTGTTAGAGAACTTTTCTAGATTAACATTTTTTGAGATTATTTTAATTCTCTTTTATTCCGAATAAATTAAATTCTCTGTCTTGTCCTCTCTTGCTCATTTTATTTCATCAGAGTCTATAATTTGAAAATGGGAAGGAAATTAGATTCCGATCTGCAATGAGATGATGTTTCAGAGATAGTGGTATCCCTTGTGATATTAAGGACTCTACTAAAGAAGAAATGACCATACATTTTTCAACAGTCTATTTTATCCCATCGCCTTATGGACGTGTTCCAAGTCTATATTGCTGTCACAAAACCACTCGCAAAAATGTCTTTGAGTCAGCATTTGTAAGCCCTTGAGTCCCAAGGTTGAAGCAGCATAAACGATAGAGCTCAGAAACTACTTCACTACTTGAAGTATACCATTTCTTCAATGCAAGGGAAACTTCAGAAAATACTGAATTCAGTCTTACAGGGATGCTTGTTTGCCCTCTTTCTCAACAACAACAACAACAAAAAGTCACTGCAATTCTTGCCCCTAAGCTCTTTCTTAGAGGGAAGGTTTGCTGAAGGATACAGCCAATGTGAATCTTAGATATGATTTATTTGAACAGGGCAGCTAAATTATGTCTCCAGTATGCATTCTAACCCATAGGTGAAAGACATACAAAACAAAATTCCCTTCTCCTCTCTCCATGTCTTTTCAAGACTGAGATTTCTTTAGCAGTGCCTCCTGCCTCTCTTTAATACTGGCCAATTGCTCTCATAGAAAAAAGTCAATCCAGACCATGAGACTGTACATGAGCAAAGACATATCTTAGCATGTCTTGCACTTTGAACAAATTAAACCATTGCTTTAAACCACAGCATTGCTCTCTGTAAAATGGGAATAATAGCAATATTATTCGTTGAAACTGGGGGCTATACTTTATTTTCTAACCACTTACTCCTGAATAATCACATAGAAAGTTATATTAAATACAAATTGTCTGGCCTATTAGCTCATACTTATTATTAATTAACTCTTATAGCTTAAATTAACTTGTTTTCATTATTCTATATTTTACCATGAGGCTCATGGCTTGTTACCCCACTTATTGCTTCTCCAGTGTCTGCAGGTGTCTCCCTGATTGTCTTCTTTCTCTCTTTATCCCTTCTTGGATTTCCTGCCTAGAGAGAATATATTCTATCATGCCACAGGCCAAAGCAGCTTCTTTATTAACAAGGGGTAATAAAACATATTCATGATATATAGAGGGGAATCCCACATCAATTCATGGACAAACATTAGGAATATTATACTGACTCATAGAATGAATTCTTGGCAATAAAATGTCAATAATTATTAAAAATTATTATGAAATTTATCTAAAATATGTCCCACTAATATGTTTGCTGGAAGAAAAGAAAGATAGATTAATGTTTCTCAAAAATCTACACACACGCACACACATACACACACGTAAAATTTTAAGTTTGATGGCTATAGTGTAGTTCAGTGGTATAGTATTTGCCTGACATGCTGAAGTCCTTGGTTTTAGTCACAAGTACAACTGTAAATAAATAAATATTAAATAAAACATGAATTACATTTATCAAGTTATAACACTTGTAAATGAAGTCATATGTATTACATTCGTATTTCATATGATAAACACATCCCTATAACTAATCACCCAAATCGACAAATAGCGTGTAAATGAGATCTCTCTTGCTATCTTGATCATTAGTTTCTTAGTAAAAAAACAAAACAAAACAAAAACAAAAAAAAAACCTCTATTCTGTCACTAACCACCACTAACAATTAGTTTGTCTATTTTGGAACTTCCTAAGAATTGTGTTTGTGTATGACACATAAGATTAATCAGTGATATTAAGTTTTCACTACATATTATTTCTCATTGTAAGAAAAACACTATATGCTATTTGTCAATTGTAAGGGTGATGGATCTTGGGTTGTTTTATGTCTGGGTTCTTTGTACATAAAGAA